GATAGTCGAAGCAGACCTTGTGCTGTTGAAGCTAGAGAGGTGAGCAGAATAAGTTTGATTCCCTGTGAAGACGTCTCTGTTGACACCCACCCCTTGGCGCTCATGGACATTCGTTATATTTTACAACTGAAAAACTGGGAAGGAAGTAAATAAAAAGAACGAAACTCCATTGTAAGGTATCCCTTGACGTCTTTATTTAAATAAAAGGTTAATCTGGTAATCCTCAGAAATTGATTGGGCAATTACGCATGTAGATCTTTTTACGCCCTCGTGGTCACAATTTAGATCATTCAGGAGGTGGCCGTGTCTCTTACTGTCAGGGCGAATCCGGGCTGAGAAGGATACATTATTCTTCCAGAAAGATCAAGATACTCAATAAAAGTTCTCGCTCCCTAATGGGAAATCGAACTCGGGTCTTCTGCGACCCATTGCGAAGCGCCTAACCACTACACCACAGAATGTGTGGAATGTTGCTAACGTTGTATCCGAGTGTATCAAGAGCAAAGGGCTTATGTGGGTGGTTGGCGGGAGCTCTGATGTTGTTTGCTCCTTATTTCCTATCAATCAGCTATCGTCCTTATCTCTCCTCCTCCTTTTGTGTGTTATTTACTCTCTTGTAACACCTCTAATCTTCGGCCCTCATATGACCTTATTGTGTTGCAAGTGCCGTAAAACTCTTACTAAAACTAAAAACTAAAAGGAGGTTACACACAGTAAGTAGGTCTACAACTCTCTAAAAAATCAATGTTTGGTTTCGTACAATTCGTCAACGCTTCCACTTTTCCGTGTGCTCCAGGCGGCGTACCCGCCCAACCACTACATCCGGCGAGTGCCCCAGCGCAAGGTCCACACGTTCACGGCCATCCAGCTGGTACAGCTCGCTGTGCTGTGTGTGTTTGGTTTCAGCCCCGTGTCCTACATGAAGATGGTCTTCCCTGTGCTGCTGATGTTCCTCATGCCCATTCGGTGAGTGCTTTCTTTCCTTTCTTTCGTTCTTTTTCTTCTTTTTCTTTCTTTCCTTCTTTCTTTCTTTCTTTCTTTCTTTCTTTCTTTCTTTCTTTCTTTCTTTCTCTCTCTTGCGCGCTCTGTCTCTGTCTCTCTGTTTTCT